TGGGACTAAATCCAGGGGCAGGAGAAGGCACGTGAGCTCAGACAGAAACCTTCAAACTAACCTGGATTTGAAGGCCAGCGTATTCCCAATGGCCTCTCATTTATCTGTGACAATTTGTTTTCTTTCTATCAGTTGTTTTGAACACGGCTTTAAAAAACTTTGTATATTCCAGTCTTCTTTTGAAACTATGAAAAGGAGAAAAAGGGAATAAGGAGACATTCTGGGCTTCCAGAGGGTTCTCCTGCCTCACAGATGGACTTGCCATCCTCCTGCTCTGCCAGGAGAAGCCACCACCATGTATTCCTGCCCACAACACTTGCTTTGCTCCTTCACCAGCTCGCTCTACTCACTTCAAAGGAGGCCCTGATGAGAAAAGAACTGGCCTTCCTCAAATCTCTACTGTCACATGTTTTAACCTTTCTTGAAGTAATAGTCTCTGAGCACTGACCACACAGGCAGCCAAGCACATGGCTGTGAGCTACTCAAGTGTTTGTTGGCTCAGGTAAGTGATGGGACACCAATCCCTTCATGCAGAGGAGACCCATGTGCCAGCAAGAGCTATCCAAGGAGCAGACTTGGTCCCGACACCTAGAAGTCTGGGGGCAGCCCATGGTCTTAGGCTCAGTCCTGAACTAAGTGTCCTTGCGGAGCTTTAGTGATGCACAGAGCGCTGCTTTTCCACCTTCCCCTTGCTCTGTAGGGCAAGCAGAGCCCTGTTAGGGTCTCTAAAATAAAGCAATATATTTTCACAGTGGTGTTTCTGCCAGTGAGAGCCAGGAAGGGGCTGGCTGTTAGCTTGATTAACTACTGCTGGTGCTCCTCACTGCCCACTGCTTCTCCCCTCTCAGCTCCTACTTGTTGTCTGGACTGCTGAAAAAGAAGGGCTTTCATTCCACCTTCTGGACTATTAAACCCAGATACCAGCCACACAACTGCAGCTCAAACTTTTCTCATTCCAACAAATACGATCTGCTTATAAACTGCCAACCAGCACACACAGAGACATCCTGACACGTCATCAATACCATCCATCCGCCTGTAAGAGCAGGAGAGAGCGATGCTGAACCCAACTGCAGAATAACTTAATGGAATATGCTGAAGCTGTGTCAGCCCATCCATTCCCACAGCACTCTGTGGGCACTGCCTGGCCCAGCACAGCAGTGAGGCCACAGGATAACCCAGCCAAAGGGCAGAACATTTACAGTAACTATCATTTTCTCTCCCTTGCAGAAGAATGCACAAGGCATCATCGACACTTTCTTGCCCCCTCCTCTTTTCCTCTGCAAAACAACATTCTCTCCATGCTACTCCATAGCTTTTCTCCAGAAGCAACTGTAACTGCAAACACCCAGACAGATCTTACCCAAAAGTTTATGAGGAACAGCTCACAGACACCCTGAAAACTTCAGCATACTACCTAGAGTGCTGCAGATTATTATTACTTTTTAAATCTTGGTATAGTTCTGGGTAAGGATTTAATTGGGCATTATATTTCAAAGCCAGGGAGTAGGATCTATGCAAAGCACTGGCTAGTTTTTGCATTAATTGACCATCAAATCCTTCCCCTTTGCATCTGCATTCTATTATTAGAGAATGTAAAGCAGTTTACAGGGCTTTTAACCTCTTCAAGCAAACACTCTGTGCAAGTTATGCTGCTGCAGGGACCATACTAGCTTTATAGACTTCGTTTCTAATCCAAGGAGAGGGAAAAAACGGAGAAGAGACAGAGCAAAGGAATGATTTTTGATAGTAAATTCAGCTGGTGTGAATCAGCAAAGCTCCATTACAGTAAGCCAGCAAAACATCAGCCATTTGATCTGCAATGAGGTCCTCATTCCCATAAGACCAAAGTGGAACCAGACAAATCTCCATAGGCCATGTACCAGACTTCTCCACTAAACTCCCTTCTGTTGAGTGGAAAAGCCCTGATCAGATGCCAGGGAACTATCTGGTAAAGTAGGCACCATGGCACACATTGTGTGAGCTCACAGTCACTGGGAGGAAAATCCGCTTTATCGAGGGACTCTGATGACTTCTGCAGCCACAAGCCTGCCCCAGAGCTCCCACTGTGATGGCTGCCAGAGGCAGAGACACACTGCAGGATGGAAGCCTACAGGTTTCTAGTGCACAAGGGAGATGCACAAAGAACAGATCAGTGCAGCACACATGGTGTGCACACACACTACCTTCCCTCCTGAAACTTGCAATCCACTAACAGAGGGGCTTGACAGCTGCACACCTGATCAACTGCTGCCCTGGTTCCACCTTAAGCACAGCAGAAGAGAAAACAAGTAGCTGTGTAGTCTCCTTAAGAAAAGTCATATGAAGGGAGAAGATGAAATCTATCCTCACCAGGCAGGACAACCACTGTTTGATCTCCTATCTCTGTGCAGCAGGATCAGAAGGAAAACTCCTCTCTCCGTTTGCTGCCTTTGTTCTCTTTGCACAGCAGTTCCAGCACCCCACAGCAGGCAGGATTCCCATTTTGCAAATCCCCACCTTATTTCTTCCTTTCACAGTAACCCAAAATGTCACTAAACTGAGACCAGGACAGAGATTATGAGCTTGCAAACAATGGTGTAAGAGCCAGCATAATTATCTTGTTCCTAAGCATTTGATAATGCTTCCAAGTATCTTGTACTTAGTTACTTTCTAAGGTCCTGAACGTCTGGCTCTCAGGCACTACAGTTTTATTGCTACAGAATGAGCCAGGAACCATTCAAAAGCTTTAAGAGGTCTTTTTAAATACTCAGAATGAATTTACAGTGTTGGCTGCCTGGCAAACGCAACAGGCATTTCAAGTGGAAAGGAACAACCCTTTATTGCATCTGCTGTTGGCATGTAGAGCACTGTGATTGCTAGCAATTCCTCAGCTCTATTGCACGGCATCCTGCAGGCTGTTGGCTGGGCAAAGCCAAGGGCAGCCACAGGCTGGGAAGAAAAGGTTCAGGTGAAAGTAAAGCCTGGGTTTAAAACTGACTGGGAGACTTCATTGGAAGAATTCTGTAGAAGACAATCAAAAGCTCAAAGTGTCACAGAAATGCCTTGGTTCCAATTACCACCCAGTGAACCATAAGCTGGGCTCCACCAGCAGCACTTTCCCAGCTCTGTCAGCCCAGGACATGTCCAACCTGCCTTGCTGTGCCACCTCCCTGCAGGCTCATGGGGATTCAAGCAGCCAAGCCTGCCCCCCTGGGCATTCCAGAAATCAGGAGGTTTCAGGAGGACACAGAATCACAAAGGTAGAAGGCCTCTGAGACCACTTGGTCCAACCACCCACCTACCACCAGTACTGCCCTCTAACCATGTCCCTAACAGAACACTGACCCTTTCCTTAAATACCTCCAGGGACGGTGACTCCACCACCATGGATCTGCAGATGTGGATGCTACAGGGAAGAGTTTCTCCCAACTCTCCTGCTCCATCTTTGCCAAGACAAAGCCTGTAGAGCCTTCGCTGTTCCCATGGTCCCACTGCTCTGCTCTGCAGCTGCCAGCATTTCTCCCCCCAAAACCTGCAGGGTCACCCTGTCCCACTCCACAACAGGTCTCTTCCCTGCACAACATCTTGACCTTGTCATTTCAAATGCAGAGCGCAGTGCAATTATGTGAGGGTTCCTCCATTATCTTCTACCCTCCCCCATAGGGACTCTTTTCCCTATGAGGAGATGTGGGGCAGGGTCTCAGTTGCAGCCCCCTTTTCAAGATCCAGCTCCCATCTCCCATTCTAGGAGGGGTATTTCCTACCTTGGTAGGATACTGTTGCTTTGGGGCCTTTTTCTGCCCATTCTGGGCTCAAGAAGGTCCATGAAAATAGTATCTCACCTCCACTGGCTGGTAAAGGCTGCTTAGGAAAATATTAAGATATATGTAAGAGCCAACTGCTCTGTCCTTCCCTGGCACAGCTTCCAGAAAACCCAAGTTTCCTCGGGACACTAAAGGAAAGCAATTGGCAAAGAAAACGACAGCCAGGAAAATGTTTTCCAAAGACTGAACAGGATAATTTAAAGATGTTATTATTAATGATGGCCATCGCAGTGCTAGGAAGCTCAGTGCTTTTTCATACAAGGCTGAGAAAGGAAAAGGAACAAAACTAAGCATTGTCTATGAGCAGCATGGAGCTGTGGAAACCAAACAAGATGAACAACCAAGCCAAACCCTCCACCTGAGTGAGCTAGTGTGGGTCCTACAGAGTTCAGGCTGGAGAGAACCAATGCTACATCCCACTGACCAGGGCAGAGGATATTAAAGCAGAGCTTTACCTGGTGTAGGGAACCTGCTTTGGCAGGGGGGTTGGACACGATGATCTCTGGAGGTCCCTTCCAACACCTACAATTCTGTGATTCTGTGATCTGTGATTTCTAAAGACCTTTTGGGAAGTAAGCCCAAACTCACTGCAATTAAATGAGCCAAGGAATTGCCCGGAGGCTGCAAGAATCCCTGTCTGCTCTCCAAGCCTCCTGAGAGCCACCAGAACTGCTGTCACCCACATCACAGCCCTACGTGCGCCTGTGCTTCTGCACACACTGCTGGACTTTTGCCTGGGATGTTTCCTGAGGATCGCGCCGAGGCCAGCAAGCCAACCGGTCATTAATTCTCAGGAAGCACCCACCGCCTCATTGGTAATTACTTAAATAAACTTCCCTTTCATGGTGCCTGAGCCAAGGCCTTTCTTTCCGACACGTCCCAGTAAAGCTTTATTTAAGGTAAGATAAGACGAGGGCTACGCACGAGGGCTGCACCTGACTAAACACTCAGCCACGGGCGATGGCCGGATGGCTCCGGCAGGATTTCACCGCCTCGTGCTCCTCTCCCCACAGCCAGCTCAGCCCCATCGAGCTCACAGCGAGCAGGGAAACGGCCCGTGTATGATTTCCCCTTCTATATGCAGCATATATCCTTCATGCAAATCTGTCTCATAAATCATTGCATCCCAGGTGCACTGTGGAGTCATTTGCTAGGAAAATACTGTTCCAACCGAAGGACCCAACATACCGCAGTGCTCTTTATGAAGGGTAATATCCAGGATGGGGGTGACTTGGAGGCCTGCCAGGCTCTGAAAATGATTCATCCCGCCTGACCTTAAATCTTGGGTTCTGACTATTGCAGCCATGTTTGCAGGCAGGAAGCGTCAATCACTGCGCGCTCATTTCCCAGCCGTGGTGACAGAGCCCTGGGGCTACACGAGAACCTCCACCTGAGAACCTGTGGGTTACAAACAACTCCATATTAACCAAAACAAGGCCTCCACAAACACCAACCCAACACGTCTTGTAGAGCCTCCTTTACGCCTTTTGTTCTCTGCGACTTCACTATAAGCTGCAGCCCACGCTTTTCTCACTTGCATGGCTTTGAGAAGACTGTATTGGTCTCAGAGATCCAGATGTCAGATCCCAGTCCCAATGCTCCAAGAACGTCTCAGATTTTAAGTCCACAGCTCTGTCCACTGATAGAGAATTCTACCCAGACAACTGCTTGCTACAGTTCCGAAAAGAACCCGCACATCTCAAATTCTCAAATTTTCCCAGAGCATTCAGTATGTGCCCAAATAACTTCTTTTTTATGTCAGCAATAAGATTTGCTAATCAGACCTTTGACCCTCTTCCACGCAGACCACTGAGATATTTTAAAGTAGCTCGTGAGCGCAGGACTCATTTTTCAGAGGGCAGCTTTAAGTTACCAAAGGAAAGATCCATTTAAATGCAACGTCTAATAGCTTTGTTGTGGCAATAGGGGATATCAAAGAGTCAAGGGAGGAAGATTGTACTCAGCTGAGAATATGGACGAGCAGTCAGACACAAAAGCCTTTCTATGGCTCTGACAAAGAAACAATAAACTTAAGCTCTTGTAGAGCTTAGCTTAAGCCAAAGGGATAGAGAAAGAAAAAAAATGAAATGCAGAATTAAGATGCCCAGTCTATTGATATTAAGTACAGTAATGAGGTGACATGCAATACCATAAAAATTATTAAAGCTCATAAGAAAAAATAAAATAGAAAGACACGCGGGTCAGGGATTTTCAGTAATATCCTACAAATGGACATTTTAGACCACTTAGCACCACAAGTCCCCGAGGCTTTATCCATATTCAGCACTGCCAGTACCGTTGGGCACCAGCAGCAGACAGCAGGAGCTCAGCTCTCACTGTGCCTTGCCCCCAGAGCTGCCCTTGGGTGTTTTAACCCTGAGGACAGAGAGATGGTTGATCAGGATCGATCAGGAGCAGGGACAAATGGCAACACAGGGGTGCTCAACTGCAAGCACCTACAACTCGATGTGCTAGCAAGCGGCTCTCCTGCATACCACAAAAGGGATGGGGATGCCTCTTTCTCCCATGTAGCTCGTGGTTGGCATGTGGCACCAGACATGATTTCCATTCTCCAGTGTTTTCACTACTCTCAAACCCATGGACCAGCTGATGTCCACCATATATTCACAGCCAGTGTAAGCAAGCCCTGCTGCTCTGACAGCCCTTCTGTTGGGTGCAGGCAGACACACGAACGTCTGGCCCAGATGTCATGCAGGAGGGAGCAGATTTGCCCAAACACACACCAGGGACATTCAGCAAAATGCTTTGACCTCTGCCCTCCTGGAATGAAAACAGCCCCTCCAAACTACCAGAAAGGGGAAGAGAAAATTGTAAATGACTTAAAGTGGGATGGAAACCTCCGAGGTTGACGATCACAAGCTAATCTTCTTGTCACGGGAGCAGACTCACCAGGCAGAAGGGAATTCCTGCCTTTGACTGGCCTAATTAAAGGCATCGAACTCTGCACCCGCTATGTCTTGATGTGCCTTAATGCGATCTGACATTCGGCATACGCGAGGAACGCTGACACACACATACGGTTCTCATTGCTTGAAGGAGTTGGCATCCACAGTGTCCCAGCTGCAGCACGCTTCCCTGCCTCGTCCTGCTGTGGAGTGGCAAAGGGGGGATATCTGTGCATCCAGCCCCATCCAGCTCTCTCAATTCTGGGGGGCTAGACTTGATGCACGAGGTCCCACACAGGGAGAGGACTCTGGTCCGACCCAGCAATGAAAGGTCATTCAGGGCTGGGATTCAGAGATTTTCTCATGTGAATTGCAAGTGGGAGGCTCTGGCTGTCTCTCTCCTGTGTAGGGACAGGAATAACGTGTTGCTGTGCCTTTAGAGCGCAGGATAGTTCCAAGCATGAAAGTACAGAAGACTGCAAAGATCTCATATCAGGATCTGTTGGAGCACATTCAGAGGAGAACCACAAAAATGCTTCCAGGGATGGAACACCTTTCCTACAAGGACAGGCTGAGAGCTGGGACTGTGCAGCCTGGAGAAGGGAAGGCTCCAGGGGGACCTGTGAATGGCCTTTCCATATCTACATTTAGAGAGAAGGGGACGGACTCTTGGGCAGGATCTGTCGCGACAGGATAAGGGGAAATGGTTTCAGGCTAAAAGAGGGGAGATTTAGACTGGACATAAGGAAAAAGTTGCCCACAGAGGTGGTGGAAACCCTGTCTCTGGAGACATCCAAGGTGAGGCTGGACAGAGTTCTGAGCACCTGATCAAGCTGTAGGTGTCCCTGTTCAGTGCAGAGGAGTTGGACCACATGGCTTTAAGGGTCCATTCCAAATCAAACAATTCTATGATTCCAAAGTTCAGGATACAAGATGAACCTACTGGGTATCTGCACGCAGTGATGTGCATCACAGGCACTGTGTCCCTCACCTCCTGTTCCAGGTCTGGCCTCTGCATCAGGGGATACATCGCAATGCTTGACACGCTCCAGAACAGCTGGAGCAACCCTGTGAAGAAACCTCGCCTTAGGAATGGATGGGAAGGAGGCACAGGAGGGCAGCTGGCAGCAGGTGGTTCTGTGCTACAGGAGCACCTGGCGCTGAAGACCCATGTTGAGACTCAGACCCTGAAAAACAATAAAGCTTCTCAACGGCACTATAAGCAACTAACTTTCCTCTTCAGTTACTGTGTAAAAGATTAGAGTCCCGCAATACTATTACTTGTGCTGCAAGAACAAACGTTGGTCTGCTAGGTCACACGGCAGCAGGCTGTGTGTTTACATCTGAAGGTCCCAAGTTCATTTCCAGTTAATGATCCATAAGAGAGACTGCAACATTTCTCACAGGAAGACTGCTTGGAAGCTACAGATAGGCTGCTTGGGCTGGAGTAGAAACAAAGCAGTGAAACACTTGTCATGAACTATAAATCAGAAATCAGCGATGCTCTACAGGAACAGTAACGTTTGATGCATGCTTGTACCAAGAGCCAGTCAGTAAAAGCTCCTTCAGAGTGAAAAGAAATATAGAGATGGTGAATTCAGTGCGACTGAAATGCAGAACATGTTCAAATTCATATTTAATAAAGCAATTATTGTTTATTATTGAAGTACCAATTGATTATTAAAAACACATTTATTGAGGCTGGACCACAAGGTAACAGATACGTACCTCTGGCATAGTTGCGAAACCTCAGTAAATAGTGATTATTAGAAACACATTTATTGAGGCCTAACGATACCATAAGATGTGTATCAGTTACAGAGCTCTTAAAACCTGATCAGTGCGTTCTTAAGCCGTATTTACTGAGGGTTTATAGCAGCAGCAGAGCTACATGTCTTCATTTAGGGTTGCTAAGCCACACGGAATATCATCTTAATGCTCATTTGATACTTGATTAGGTCACATTTACAAGGAAAAGGCTACATCAACCAATGGGAATGAGGAAAAAAAAGCAATCGCTTTCCTGCTGCCAAAAACACAGATCTGGGCGACTATTTGACCTGTTGTCAAATCTTTTGCTAATCGCTGAGCACCAGATTGGCTGCAGCAAATGGACCATGGGTGAGCTGAGGATACGGCTGTGCAACGCTTCCACCCCAGTGCCTGGTGCTGAGCAGAGCAGGAGCCTTATAACCAGCCCTGAGCTCAAGCCTCCATCAGGTACTGATCAACCTGCACTCAATAAACCTCTGTTCTCCCCAAGGAACTTCACTGGGTCCCTCTATTTTGGCACCGCCACTGAAAACGGACTGTCACTAAAACTGCACTGATGTTGAAATAAAACAGAGGTTGAATGCTGCCCAGAAGGAGGGAGCTAAGCAGCAGAGGGGACTGAAACTGGAGTGACCCGAGAAGGAAAATATCCACCAGTGACATGATCTGAAAGCACGCAGACAGCAAAGCCTTCCACCATCAGCGAGCATCGTGCCCAACCAGCACAGTTCCTAAAGACCTTGGGATACATCATCTGGGGCACTGGGAGGAAGGGCCACTTGATCAGTGACACTGCACTGATCTACAACAGCTGGAGTTTGGCTCTGCCATTGCCAGGGTGAGGGAAGACACATGTCAGCCAGTGCTGCAGAACATTCAATGCCCCGTCCTTGGACGTGTTCAAGGCCAGGTCGGACGGGTCCTGGGCAACCTGATCTGAATGTGTGTGTTTGGTGGCCCTGCTAGGCAGGGGGGTTGGAACTACATGATCCTTGAGGTCCCTTCCAACCCGGGTGATTCTGTGATTCTGTGATCTGTGATTCAGCTTTGGAGCTACTTGCCCAGAAAGGTGGTGGAGCCCCTTCCTTGGAGATACTCAAGGTCAGGCTGGACGGGGCTCTGAGCACCTGATGGAGCTGTAGCTGCCCCCTGTTCATCGCAAGGGAGTTGGACTAGATGATTTTTAAGGGTCCCTTCAACTCAAACCATTCTGTGATTCTACTTTCTGCCTCCTGAGTATTTCCCAGAACAGGCGGATCCCCACCCGCCATCCCTCACCTCCAGCCCCACAGCACCTGCGACCCACTCTGCCATCTCCATCCCATACACAAAGGGCAACCCTACAGCACAGCTACTAGGGACATCCCTGCACCAGCTGAGCCTTCCCCATGCCTTGGGATGAATACATGAGATCAGCTCCAAAGGACACAGTGAGCCAAACAAAGAGGCAGGATGGAAACCACAGCAAAAGCAAGGATTTTGCCCAGATCATGCAGAACGGTTGAGGAAAAGCCCAGGGGAGAAGGGAAGTCTGCTCCTTTTCTTTTGCCATGCCTCAGACCTCCCTGCCTCCCCTGCAGAGGAGGAGGGGAGAACAGAGCAGAGATTACCAAAGAACTCCCCTAGCTCCAGTCTACACTGTTCAAATTTATATATTCCACTACAGGTGACATCATGATTGCTGGAGTCTGACAGGTGATGCTGTAAAATGCATGAAAC